GTCTGACTGACATTTACAGGACATTCTACCCAAAATCCACTGAATATACGTTCTTCTCATCAGCTCACGGGACATTCTCTAAGATTGACCATAACCTAGGACACAAAGTAAATCTCAAGAAATTTTAAAAAAATAGAAATCATACCATGTATCTTCTCAGATCACAGTGGAAAAAAGTAAATCAACCCTAACAGAAACTCAGATTTCTACACAAAAACGTGGAAATTAAACAACCTCCTACTAAATGATTACTTCATAAATGAAGAAATCAAGATGGAAATTAAAAAATTCTATGAACAAAATGACAATGGCGAGACAAGTTATCAAATCCTCTGGGACACAGCTAAAGCAGTTCTGAGAGTAAAGTTTATCTCTATAAATGCCTATAACCAAAAGTCAAAAATATCACAAATAGACAATCTAACAAAATGACTCAAAGACCTGGAGAAAGAAGAACAGACCAACCACAATCCCAGCAGAAGAAGTGAAATCAACAAGATCAAATCAGAACTAAACGAAATTGAAAACAGGGAACCTATTCAGAAATTAATAAAACAAAAGTTTGGTTCTTTTTGAAAATAAACAAAATGACACGCCATTGGCTAAGCTAATGAAAAGCAGAAAAGAGAAATCTCTAATAAGCTCCATCAGGAAGAAAAATGGAGATATCACAACTGATCCCAAAGAGATACAAGATATAATTCATGAATATTACAAAAATCTTAATGCACACAAACTGGAAAATGAGGAAAAATGGACAAATTCTAGAAAACACACAGCCTCCCTAGCTCAACCAGGAAGAAATAGATTCCCTGAACAGACCAATCTCAAGAGCTGAAATAGAAACGCAATTAAATCTCCTAAAAAGCCGGCGCGGTGGCTCACACCTGTATCCTAGAACTCTGGAGCCGAGGCAGGCGGGATTGCTTCAAGGTCAGGAGTTCAAAACCAGCCTGAGCGAGACCCCGTCCTACCATAAAAATAGAAAGAAATTAATTGGCCAACTAATATATATAATATAAAAAAAAATCAGCCGGCATGGTGGCTGTGCCTGTAGTCCCAGCTACTCGGAGGCTGAGGCAGGGAGATCGCTTGAGCCCAGGAGTCTCGAGGTTGCTGTGAGCTAGGCTGACCCACGCACTCACTCGTGCCTAGGCGAAGAAAGCGAGACTCTGTCTCAAAAAAAAAAAAAAAAATAAAAAAAAAAAAATCTCCCTAAAAAGAAATGTCCCGGTCAAGATGGTTTCACACCCGAATTTCACACATTTACAAAGAAGAACTAGTACCTATCTTGCAGAAACTATTCCACAACATCAAGAAGAACAGAAACCTCCCCGACACCTTTTATGAAGCGAATATTACTCTGATACCCAAACCAGGAAAGGATACAACAAAAAAAGAAAACTACAGACCACTATCCCTAATGAATACGGATGCAAACATTTTCAACAAAATCCTAGCTAACCGAATCCAGACACTTATCAAAAAAATAATCCATCACGACCAAGTGGTCTTCATCCCAGGGATGCAGGGATGGTTCAACATACATAAATCTATAAATGCAATTCACCACATAAACAGAAGCAAAAACAAAGACCACATGATTCTTTCAATAGATGCACATAAAGCTTTTGACAAAATTCAACACCCTTCATGATACTTAATACGAATACTTAATAAAACAGACATAGAAGGAGCATACCTAAAAATGATACAAGCCATATATGACAGACCCATAGCCAACATCATACTGAATGGGGAAAAATTGAAAGCATTCCCACTTAGAACTGGAACCAGACAAGGCTGCCCACTATCTCCACTTCTATTCAACATAGTGCTGGAAGTCCTGGCTACAGCAATCTGACAGGAAAATGGAATTAAAGGTATACAAATACGGGCAGAAGAGATCAAACTTTCACTGTTTGCTGATGGTATGATATTATATTTAGAAAAACCCAAAGATTCAACCAAGAAACTCCTGGAACTGATAAATGAATTTAGTAAAGTCTCAGGATACAAAATCAATACACAGAAATCAGAGGCATTCATATATGCCAACAACAATCAAATTGAGAACCAAATCAAAGACTCAATTCCCTTCACAATAGCAACAAAGAATTAAAGTACCTAGAATATACTTAACCAGGAGTAAAAGACCTCTACAGGGAAGAACTATGAAACACTGAGGAAGGAAATAGCAGAGGATGTAAACAGATGGAAATCCATACCAGCAGACTCAACATCATTAAAATGTCTATACTACCCAACTGATCTACAGATTCAATGCAATACCTATTAAATCCATCAGCATTCTTCACAGATATAGAAAAAATAATTTTACGCTTTGTATGGAACCAAAGAAGACCCCGAATATCAAAAGCAATTTTAGGCAACAAAAACAAAATGGGAGGTATAATATGCCAGATATCAAACTATACTACAAAGCTGTAGTTATTAAATCAATATGGTATTGGCACAAAAATAGGAATATTGACCAGTGGAACAGATCTGAGAATCCTGATATAAAACCATCCTCATATAGCCATCTAATCTTTGACAAAGCAGACAAAAACATACGCTGGGGAAAAGAATCCCTTTTCATATAATGGTGCTGGGAAAACTGGATAGCACTTGTAGAAGGCTAAAGCAGGACCCACACCTTTCATCTCTCACAGAAATCAACTCACGCTGGATAACAGACTTAAACCTAAGGTATGAAACTATTAGAATTCTAGAGGAAAATGCTGGAAACACTCTCCTAGACATTTGGCCTAGGCAAAGAGTTTATGAAGAAGTCCCAAAGGCAATCAGAGGAGCAACAAAAATAAATAAATGGGACATGATCAAACTAAAAAGCTTCTGCACAGCCAAAGAAATAGTCATGAAAGTAAACAGACAACCTACAGAATGGGGAGAAATTTTGCATCCTACGCATCTGATAAGGGGCTGATAACTGAATATACTTAGAACTCACGAAAATCAGCAAGAAAAAATCAAATAACCCCATTAAAAAGTGGGCAAAGGACTTGAACAGAAACTTTTCTAAAGAAGACAGAAGAATGGCCAACAAACTATGAAAAATGGTCACATCTCTAATCATCAGGAAATCAAATCAAAACACAATGAGATATCACTTAACTCCAGTGAGAATGGCCTTTATCAAAAAGTCTCCAAATAACAAATGCTGGCGTGGATGCGGAGAGAGAGGAACACTCCTACACTGCTGGTGGGACTGCAAACTAGTTCAACCTCTGTGGAAAGCAATATGGAGATACCTTAAAGTGATACAAGTGAATCTACCATTTGATCCAGCAATCCATTACTGGGCATCTACCCAAAAGATCCAATGACACTCTACAAAAAGACACTTGCACTAGAATGTTTATAGCAGCACAATTCATAATTGCAAGGCTGTGGAAACAGCCCAAGTGCCCATCAATTCAAGAATGGATTAATAAATGGGTATATGTATACATGGAGTACTATTCAGCTCTAATAAACAATGGTGCTATAGCACATCTTATGTTTCCTGGTTAGAGCTGCGAACCATACTACAAGTGAGTATTTCCCAAGAATGGAAAAACAAGCACCACATATACTCACCAGCAAACTGGTATTAACTGAGCAGCACCTACAGCATGGATGAATCTTGAGGACATTATGCTAAGTGAAATTAGCCAGTCACAAAGGAACATATCCTGTAGGATTGCTCCTGTGAAGTATTTAGGGTTGTCAGAGCCATAGATACAGGAAGTAGAATGTGGGTACCAGGCGCTGGGGGAGGGGTTGAGGAGTTACTGTCTCATGAGGACAGAACTTCAGTTTTGCAAAATGAAAAGAGCTCTGGAGATGATGGTGGTGACAATAGCACAACAGTATAAATGTATTATAATAATACTAATACACTGAACTGATACTTAAAATGGTTAATATGGTAAATTTTATATTATATATATTTTATCACAATTTTTAAACATGTTAAATGTAGGTAAAAGAAAGACATTTTCAGAAAATCTTAGAAAACACTTCTGGCTGATGTGGTGGCTCACGCCTGTAATCCTAGCACTTTGGGAGGCCAATGCAGGAGGATGCTTGAGCCTAGGAGTTTGAGACTAGCCTGGGCAATAGCAAAACCTCATCTCTACAAAAAATAAAAATAAATAAAAAATTAGCCGGGCATGGTGGCACATGCCTGTAGTCCCAGCTACTCAGGAGGCTATGGCATGAGGACTGCTGAAGCCCAGGAGTTTGAGGTTGTAGTGAGCCGTGATGATGCCACTGTACTCTAGCCCAGGTGACAGAGCAAGGCCCAGTCTCGAGGAGAGGAGAGGAGAGGAGAGGAGAGGAGAGGAGAGGGGAGGAGAGGGGAGGAGAGGGGAGGAGAGGGGAGGAGAGGGGAGGAGAGGGGAGGAGAGGGGAGGAGAGGGGAGGAGAGGGGAGGAGAGGGGAGGAGAGAGGGGAGAGGAGAGAGCAGAGACACGAGAGAAAAGAAAGAAGGTAAGACTTCAGAAATTTGCAACTCTGGCCTCCTCATTTTAAAGATGGGGAAACAGAAGCTCATCAAGAGGGAAAATGGAAAATTTGGTCAAGATCACATGGCTGAGCAAAGGCAGAGTTCAAAGGGGAATGTGGGTTCCTGTCTCATTACCCAGAGCTCTTTTCACTGGAAGTCAGGTCTCTAAGCCAGATGCCAGCTGTCAGCGATAAATCAAGTGAGGAAATTACCTGTCTGAGTCATAGGTGTGAAATACCTGCAGGGCACATATAAAGACAATAGGAAACCACCTGGGCTGAGGTTGGGCAGGATGGAAAAGGAAGATTCACAGGCTGATGTTAACCAAAAGATTTTCCCGCATTCCGCATTCCTATCAGTGTCATCTATCAGGACGACTTCCACACACTTGGGTCACCCAGGACATTTTCACATAATCAGACTTTACAGATCTGGCTGTAACTTTTTTTTTTTTAGTTTATATATTTTTGGCACATGCAGAACTCACCTTGTTCTTTTCCATTACACATAGTAATTCCGTTTTCTATAACACCCTCCCCATCTGAGCTGGGTCTCTCTGAAGACAGTTTCTGTAGGGACAGAAAGGGTTAAGTTATTCTTATAATGGCCACACTGGCCAAGAGCTGTGTAAAAGTTAAAAGTTATCTCAAAGGGAAAGAAAGTGTGGACCAAATTTACAACAATCCAGTAGTCAGGGCGTACATGTAACAAAGACTAGCTGGTTAGGTTGCTACGAAAGCTTTAGAAACATCCAAAAATACAAAGAAAAACTCACGGAGGTTATATTATACTAACATACATACTGTACCATGCCTATTTCATTCAAATCACCTTTTCTTATAAATAAGTTTGAAAAATATTAAGATTACAAAACATATCCCCCCACCACGTATATTATCCTGCAGAAATAAAAATCCCATCATCTGTTTAATTTCTTCTGGCCATTCACCAATAGTTGGGCGTCATGTATTTGCTTGTAATAGAAACACTCAGAACATACAAGGACAATACCAAAACCCTCAAGGGGGAGAGAACACTTGTCATTATTTTAGTCCCAATATCTGGGTTTAATGAACATAATTAGGATTCCACGTTAGGATCTGAGTGAGACACAGCATTTACAACTAGACTACTCCCATTCCTGCCCAAGGACCTGTGGGGTCACAGTGGGGAAACGGCCTCCATATGCCCTCCTCAGACCCTCCAATTATGCCCCAGTGCCTCAGACACTGGCCAGCTGGACTCAGATGAAACACATGAATGATCCCCAGGGCGAAAAGGAACATGCATGTTTAACTTAGAACACGAGGACCAGGCAATGTTGGCCAAGGATGGCAGGCAGGTGTCTGCAATCCAGCAAGACCTGTAGGAAAGAGTTAGTACCAACTGCTGGGAAGCCAAGTTGCAGTAGTCTGATGGCCTAGAGCCAGCACTATCCTGGCTTTCATGCCAGGAAGCATCCATGGGATATAGGGCAGCAGGCCTGGCCAGGCACTAACAGTACCACCTCGGAAATCAAAGAGAAGCAAAAGACAATCGCCAATTCTGATGTGAGTGTGTGAAAGAGGAATTTGGAGGCACCATGATGGGAAACAAAACTGGACCAACCTTTTGGGAAAGCAATTTAATTAGCGACATGAATCAAAATCTTAAAAAATAAAAAACTTCTTATCCTTTGGTCTAGTAATTCAGCTTCCAGGAGTCTACTCTCAGGTAACAGATACAAAAGCAGTAAAGATTTATGCAAAAGATGTCAAGTGCTATTTTACTGATATGGCCTAAAAACGAAAAAAAAACAAAACAAAACAAAACAGCCTAATTCAGGGGAGGGAATATTTATGAGTGATAGTAAAGTCATACAAATTTGATAGTAAGCTGATAAAAATGCTTATTGCTTATTATGGGTTTTTTAAAACCTGGAAATTACCAATAATATAAAGGTAAGTGACAGAAAGCAGTATAAGAAATTTTATGCAGGCCGGGCGCTGTGGCTCACGCCTGTAATCCTAGCTCTTGGGAGGCCGAGGCGGGCGGATTGCTCAAGGTCAGGAGTTCAAAACCAGCCTGAGCGAGACCCCGTCTCTACTATAAAAATAGAAAGAAATTAATTGGCCAACTGATATATATATAAAAAATTAGCCGGGCATGGTGGCGCATGCCTGTAGTCCCAGCTACTCGGGAGGCTGAGGCAGAAGGATCACTGGAGCCCAGGAGTTTGAGGTTGCTGTGAGCTAGGCTGACGCCACGGCACTCACTCTAGCCTGGGCAACAAAGCGAGACTCTGTCTCAAAAAAAAAAAAAAAAAAAAAAGAAATTTTATGCATAAGCTTACCCAAACTGTAAAAGCTGTTCCTTTTATCCCCCTGCCAGTGAACCGATACCTTTCTGTCTATCCTTGCGTTGTCAGCATTCTCCAGAGGAACAGAAACTTACGGGATGTGTGTATGGAGAAAGAAATCTATTATAAGGAATTGACTCACATGATTATGAAGGATACAAAAAAAAGTGGTTAGAAATTCAGAGACCGTTAAAAGGAGCTGCCTCCTCCATGTGGTGGACCTGTAAGTGACTTTTTCTATCTATTTACATTTCTCTGAGCTTTCTAAATTTTCCACAGTGGAGCAGGTATTGGTTTTATAGTTAGGAAAGGAAGGGCTGTTCTATCACAATATCAAGATGGGGACTGTGATGGTTACTATTATGTGTCAACTAGGAGGGTGTTTCCGGATGAGATTAACATTTAAATCAGTGAACTCTGAGTTCACTGCCCTCCCTAGAGTGGGTGGGCCTCATCCAATCAGTTGCAGGCCTGAGTAGAACAAAAGCACAGGCCTCCCCACATAAGAGGGGATGCTCCAGCAGACTGCCCTCAGACCTCACGTGCACCGTCAGCTCCTCCAGGGCTCTGCCTGCCGGCACATGCTGCAGATTTGGGACTTGCACCCTCCATCACCACGTGAGCCAACCCCCATAATAGATCTCTTTCTACACAGATACACATCTCATCGACTCTTTTCCTCCGGAGAACCCTGACTAATACAAGGACAGACAAAAAACAATCTGTCTGTTCGTGGGCAGGCGGTAAAAGCAGGCAACTCAGAAAGCTGCTGGGACACAAGCTACTGGCAGAAGATCTCATGGCAGGAAGCCAGGGGTCTCCAAGGAAATGGCATCAGTCACATGTAGACAGATAAAGTACAATCAGAGTGGGGCATTCCCAACAGTGATGGGTTCTGCACATTTCTGGCAAGAAGGGGTTTACAGATGACAGGCCACCCCCAACCACTGTGCTCTTCCTCTGCCTTCCTATAAGCAAAATGAGTACACTGCAGAGGGGGCAGGGGGTGTCTCCTGGCCTGTTAGGAATAGGCCTTTGGGAAGGTACATTTATGAAGCACCTGCTGTATCCCAGAAGTAGACAGACTTGCATTCAGATATCAACCTTGCCATTTAATAGCTATGTGACTTTGAACAGGCCCTTCACACTTTTAATCCATTTCTTCATCCATAGCTGGAAATAATTAACTATGCAGTCTTTGAAATGACTTACTTAAGCTTAGTACAAACTCAGAAGTTAAAATGGATGGGAAGCAGAATTGCATTTTTTTCTTTTCCACCTGGAAGTGCTGAAATTCTCAGAGAATGCTATTAAAACTTTGAGGGAGACCTAAATCAACTGCAAGGTTACTATTCCCAGAAAGCACAATGCCCTTACCTTCTCTAGTTCTGCCTTGTGCACTGGGGAGCTCGGCGGAGGAGGGCATTCTGAATCCACGGGTCCACTACAGCCGCTGTAGGCTTCTTTGATCACCTATGCAAAGCACAGACATTTTTTGAGTGTGCCCAAAGGCAAAGATACTTAAACTAGGGCTCCCAAAAGGTGCACAGATACAGGCATATGGTGTGGCAGGGAAATGCGTGGGATCAAAGGCACCTGGCTTCAGTTCCAGGATGCCTGGTGTTCCTTTGTTCACTTACTCTCTCACTTATTCACCAAATGTCCACCCAATGCTGGAACTAACATAGATGAACAATACATTTGAGGTTCTTTCTCACATAGTTTCAATCCATGTCATTTAGGTATCACCAAAAACATACGGGAATGTAAGACAGCAGTAAGTGCTACAAAGAATAAAAGATGGTGCTATAACGAAATGGTGGGTGGCTACTTAGATCAGGAGCCCTGGGGGGCCTGACTGTAATGACATTTAAGGGTCTAGCCATGTGAAGAGCTGGCGGAAAAGGGTTCTAGGCAAGAGAACAGCTGGTGCAAAGGCCCTGTGGTGGGTGTGAAGTGTGTGAGGAAACCAGAGTGTCATGCAGCAGGAGGGCAGGGGAGAAAGAGGCAGGAGATGAGGCGGGGGCAGCTGGCTGGAGGCAGATCACATGGTGCCTTCAGGCTCAAGGGGAAAGACCCCCCAAGGGCACTTCACGGAGAGAAGCAGGACTCAAGAACAAGGGCACAGGGCCTCCTGCATGGGTGTAACCTTGGCTGTCACCTTGGGCAAACCAACAGCCGGTACTTTAATTTCCCTTCTGAACAGGGCAGATGCCACAGCACCTGTCTTCTGAAGAAGGCAAAATGCCTGAGACAGAGCCTAAAACACAAGCACTCAATTACGAGAAGGCTGCAGAAAACACTACTTGTTGTGGGAAGAGCTACACTGGAGCAGATAAGAAAGCGCAGGGAAATGAGTCAGAGGCCATCGTTGCTATAGCTGTTCAGATGCAACATGGGCTGGAGCTGCTGCAATGAAGGCAGGTACGGGAGAGGAATCGGGGCACCTGGAGGGAGGAGTGCCAGCTTTGCTGAGGAACTAGACTCCGGCTGAGGGAAAAGAGACAACTCCAAGGTGACTCTAGGATTTCTGTTCCTGGCAACTGGGCAGTGAAGTCTATTCAGAGTAAGACAGTGGAGAAGCAGGTGGATGGATATGTACAATCAAACCACAGTTGCTGCCATCATTGCTAATACCATTATTACTGTGAGCACCTTACAGCTTATGTTAAGAGCTCAGAAAACGATTCCAGGCTAGACTTAGGGGCGCTCGTCAGCCTGTAGGTCATGATTCTGGGCACAAGTTGCCTTCCAGGCCATCCCCTGCACACAGTCACCCACTCATTTCCCCAATCATTCCAGAGTTCATATAATGTCCAGGCATGGCTCTGGTCACTGTGAATAGGCAGCAAATGAGACAGACAAAGGTTCAGTGCCTGTATTGTAACTGAAAAGTTAGCAGGCATGTTTTTCAAAATGTCTTCAATTCTTTTTTGGATCTAAGATGCAATTTGAGTTAAGCCCAAGCTCCTTCTGGGCAAAAAGGAAATGCCAAAGTTCTAGATATCCGTGTAGCAATTTTGCAATTTGACCTCAACAGACATATCCAAATTCATTTGGCTTGCACTGGCACTGGGATTAGAGCCAATGACTGACAAAAGACCAGGATCATGTTTCCAGCCATTTTATTGCTCAGCTGATGTCCACTAAATAAGAAAAAAAGAAAATGAAAGAAGAAAGCCAGAGAGCTTGGGGCAATGTTTTCTCCTTACTAATTCCGAGCTGCGGAAGCAGAACCAAAGGCAACGGCTCAGCTCAGTCCCTCTAATCTTATCGGATCTCTCCTCACTTCTCTCACCTTCGTGCTAATTTCACCATTGTTTTTCTATCTTTATTCCCTCTCCTGCCCCAATGTGATTATTAAGGCTTCTATTGACAAACCAAATTTTTACTTGGTTTGAGGACAAGACTTTGTCTTCTCTCTAGGGAAAGAGTGTTAATAAAATGGAAACCTCCTAAGCTTTTGTGGAAACAGACCTGGGTTTAAACCCCAGTTCTATCACTTGCTCCATATGTGCAGCTGAGCAGTTTAGTCTCTGAGCTTCACTTTCCTCATCAACGACATGCACAAAAGAACACCTAAGGGGGTCACAGTGGAAATGAAATGATAAAACAAATGTTAAGTATCCAGCCCAATACTTCTCCCATAACAGGTATTAGTAAACTTAAACTCTTTTCCCATGATTATAGTGTTAAATAAATGAAAATGTCTTTCAGTTATAAAAACAAAGCTGAACTTGAGAAGTTCCTCATTTTACTCCAAAAAACAGCCTGGACAATCCTATGATTGCTGACAAAAGCTTTTTATTCAAAATATAGTTTTCTTCTTTCTCCTTTTCGTTTTTTGTTAGTGGGGGAAGAACAAACAAAGTACTTTGGCGGTATTACTGCAATTATCCCCGCAGGCAGCGGGGGTGTGGGAGGGCTGTGTGAGTGGTGCCTCCCGGAGGAGGCTGCAAAATGGGCATGTCCTTCAGATCCAGCCTGGCCCGTGTCCAGGAAGCCCTGTGGCCCCCGTGTGGTGGACACAGCGCGCACACGCCCACAGAGGGCCTCGGGTCCAACTGTCACAGCACTCACACGGGTTGTGTCTTCCCAGCTGTGCTCCTGAGGACAGAGGGGCTACGCCTTGCTTACACCAGTGACAAGAAAAAAGTCTGATTAAAGAAGGAAAAAGAATGAGAGAATAAAAAAATAAATTGGATTTGAGATTTTCTATGAGGGAAAACAAGTGAGTGAAGGAGAAACAAAAGGAAAGAAAATAGGCCATCATTAAAATAAGAAGACCCTCAGGACAAAGTTTCCCGGTCCTCAGCACTGACTTCTGAAATCCTCAGTAGCGGGGGAAAGTGTTTGTTAAAAATAAAAGCCACCTGGCACATACACATTCAAACCTCCAGCTCCCGCCCTCACACACTGCCCTCGGCTCGCGGGCGCCCTCTCTCTCCAGGCCGAGCGTCCAGCGGTCAGACGTGCTGTCTAGCCGTCAGCGCTAACTCACACAGTCGCCTGTTTGAGAAGCTTTTCCTGATTACCAGCCATGCCATCTGAATGCTCAGAACACTGCACACAGACAAACTATACACTCTTCTTCTTCATTATTAATTTTTCTCCCAGCTAGAACTCAAATTCCTCCTGGAGAGTAACAGTGTTTCCAACAGTGCTTAGGAAGATGGGCACACACCAGACCAGCCCGGAACTCCACACCAACCTGGGGCAGGGCGGGGGCTCCTCATGGCATCATGAGATTGTTTACGCTCCCCTAGACTAAACAGTAGTTATGTCCAGGGTATGAAGAAAGGCATTGGTAAAAAGATCAATTAGCATGAACCGTCTTTATTTCCATGGACTTTTTTCAACCAGTTGCAGAGATCACGCTATTTTCATAAAACTGCCTTTCTACACTGTCTCTATTTATTGCCAAATTGTACCTGCAGAGTTACTTCAGGAGTCATAAATAAAAGGCTTATCACTCAAATCCTTTCAATAGCTACAAATGAGGGTTTATAACAATACCTTTCTATAGAGTCATGTTGTATGAGAGTTTCAGTATGTATTTAAGAAAACTAGATCCAAATTCGGAATTACAAATCTTCTAAAACACAAATTGTTATGTGTTTTGCGGTAGTTTTGTTTGCTTTTAACTTGAGCCCTCAACTCGAGAAACACAATCTCTGCACATTTTTTCAGGAAACCTAACCACTCCATTTCTGGGAACCGTGGCTCTCGTCTTCTGTTTGACCCCTACGCAACAGCTCATGTTTTCAACATTTGTGCGTGCACACACACACACACACACACAGAATCAGTTAATTTTGGCAAGAGCTGCTGGTAATGGAAGTTGCAGGCAGAAAGGAGAAACAAATTTGGCAGCAATTCTTGAAGAAGTATGTGCAAAGTCATGCACTGGTTAAACACAGCCCTCATGTTTTTCATACTTGACAAAGGGTATATATGTGATTTCATTAAAAGATTTTTAATTGTTACACTAACGCTATGTTTCAAAATATCGAAAGTCTGGATCATCAGTTTTAAACAATGTGGGGTAATACCAGTTTATATTAATAAAAGGCTTTTATTAATATAACTTTTACAAATAAAAGACTTAAATAATGTGGGATAATAGCAGTTCATATTAATAAAAGAATTGGCATTTGTTTTACAAAACAATTCTTATGAGAGAGTTGTTAAAGCTTTTATAAGAATCCTAAAATTAGCATTATGAATAATACAATTTATATATTACCTATTTATTATAGTTTTTGGGGTATATTTATATCATTTTTTATTCTACCTCTTTGTTAATTCTGGTAATTATTATTTTCATTTAATACATAAATGGGAAAGAGTTTGTTGACCCAAAATATCATGAGTTAAATGTATTCCAGGAACATATCCTAGATTTCCAGACTCTTCACTCACTTTTCTCTCATCCTAACATACTCCTTCTAGCTAAGTGGGGATTGCTCCTTTTATGATAGTAGCTCTTTCATTAAAAAAAAAGCACTTCAATCATAATGTTGTGGCCTATCTGAGGTAAAATTAAAAGCTACAATGATAACATTGACTTATTTCACACAAAACTATCATTACAAAGTTCTAAGTCATTTTGATGTAAAAAAGAAGAGTTAAACATGACAGTTAAAGACTGCGATCTACATTTGGGAGGCCAAGGTGGGAGGTCTACTTGAGGCCAGGAGATTGAGACCAATCTAGGAAACATAGTGACACCCTATCTCTACAAAAATTTAAAAAATTAGCTAGGCATGGTAGTGTGCACCTGTAAACCCAGCTACTCAGGAGGCTGAGGCAGGAGGATCACTTAAGCTAAGGAGTTCCAGGTTGCAGCAAGCTAATATCTCACTGCTATCCTTTAGCCTGGGTGACAGAGTGAGACCCTGTCTCAAAAAAAAAAAAAAAAAAAACTAAAACAATTTAAAACAATTCAACCTGGACAGAAGGAGTCTACACTCATCAATCCTTCTCCTGGGGCTTTATCGAGTATGTAGGCACAGCAAAGAAGCTGGAACCAAGGAAACAGAGTTCAGAGGGGTTCCCTTGAGAGGCACAGTACTTCTCCCAACTGCAAGGTCACTGCTCTGCAGGTGAAGGCAGAGGGCGGCACAAAGCCTTCCCAAGGAAGGGCCAGGCTTCCCAGAGTACCAGGCACTCAACCTTCAACAGCTAGAGACAGAGCACAGGGCAGAGAGCTTTCACCTAAGGCACAAAAAGCCAGAGGCAAGACTGCAGAACACAGAGACCACCTCAGCAAGCCAAAAGCCGGCTGTTAGGCCAAAACCAGAAACAAAACAAGAAGCTGATTCAGAAAGCTGGTCACGCATCTGCAGTACACAATAGAGACCTCTAGGTTTTCACTACAGGTCTCAGAACACAAGCCAAGCTGATGGGAAGTTCCTGATGCAGCACTTCAACCCTTCTGACAGCAGAAGTGAAGTGAATCAAAGTGAAGCTACAGCAAAGTGCAGACTCTCCTCAACCACAGATGAGACGCACACAAGCCACCCAGGAGCAGCTCGGTAGGGCGGCCACACACCTTTTCTGGAGGGAATACAGCTCACTTCAGTCTCCACTGCTCCTTCACACAAAATGTACAGATCATAATATAAACTCCTGAGACACATTCAGCAGAAGCAGTCCCAGAGATGGGCCAGATACTGGAATTATCAGAGATGCCAAAATAGGTATGATAGAAATGCTAAAATAGTTCATAAAAAAGGTGGACAACATGAAGAGACGGGGAAGTTCAGCAGAGAGATGGGAACTATAAAGAGAAAGAGAGATAGAAGGGAGGGAGGGAGGGAGGGAGGCCCCTGCATGTGGCCTGCATGCAGGGGGCAGGCAGGCCACAAACGGAAAGCAGGATGTCAGGAAAGAAGAATGCATCAGTTGAACACAACACACCAGGGCACAAAACAGAAGGATCAGTAAACCCGAGGACAGTAAACTAAAAGCCTTTGACCAAGCTGAAACACAACAAAAGAGTGATGGAAAACAAACGAGTATCAAGAAATCCACAGGAAAATAAAAAAAGAACCTAACATATCTACAAATGGAATTTTGAAAGGAGAGGAGAGAAAAAAAATTGAGGCAGAAAAAGTGTTTGAAGAGAAAATGGCCAAAAACATTCCAAAAGTAAGGAAAGGCACCAACCCACAGAACCAAGGAGCTCAACAAACACCAAGAAAGACAGAAACCAATAAAACTTCAGCTACATACCTCACAGTGAACTGCTGAAAACCATGACTGCCTATGAAGACAGATTTGGCTATGTATCATGCTTTGTATCATGCATGTACAAACATGCATCATGTTTGTATGAATGCTTATAGCCTTCACACAAACAGTTACTCTTTCTGGGAGTTTAGCCTACAGACCAACACAAGTATGAAATGATATATGCATAGGGTTATTTATTAATAATACAAAATTGTTTGTCATATCAAAAGATTGAAAATAACCCAATGTCTATGAATGGGAGACAGACTTTTTCAAGTATGGTCTATTTATACAATGAAATGCTATATACTATTTAAAAAAAGAGAGAAGGCGCTCTGTTCTCTAAATTGCTAAGATCTCCAAGATACTTTGCTTGGGTAAAGAAAACCAGGTACAGAATGCTGCACCTTTTCTATGGACAGGTGAGAGGAATTTCCGTGCACATGTACATAGAAACTCTGAAAGGAGACATACAAAAGAAGACCGCTCTCCTGCACTGCTGGTGGAATTGCAGAAAACAATCTGACAAAATCTAGTGATGCTGAAGATGTGCACCTCCTAAACCTGGCAATTCCGATGTCAGGTATCCAAGGTACCCATCCCAGAGAAGCCACAAGCATGAGACCAAGGGACACATGTGAGACAAGGGACACGACGCTCATGGCAACACAGCCTGTGGAAGGAGAGGGTGTGAACACCCTAAGGGGCTGTCAGCAGGAGCACGGATGTAACAGTTCTGAGTGGAAAAAAAAAAAAAAACACCCACAGGATACACAGAGTTTGAAGCCATTTACATGGAAATTGTAAAACATGGAAAAATATTATTTATCATTCACAGCTACGTACATATATAAGTGAAGACATTTCTTAAAAAGCATAACCAGACAGTGATAAAGACCAAATTCAGATAAAAGTTACCTTTGAGAAGGCAGACAGAATTAAACAGGGGAGGCATATCTCAGTTCCATCTGTAGCATTTTAGATCTTAAAAAGATATAAAGTAAAAAGAAAAAAGATTCTTAGGTCTGGAATGAACCTGAATTATGAGGAATCTATGGTTTTTAAATCTCCAGGTGATTCCAAAAGGCAGCAAATTTAATGACAGTATCTGGAGAAGCTAAACTAGACCAACTCAGGTCTCTGCTAGCCTAAAATAATTAAAATTCTATAACCGACTGACTGAAACTAGTTTTGTAGTCTGACTATCATTTCTAATCAAGACTTCTTAGGTTCTTGTACTGTCACATGTAACGGAAATAACAACACAAGCATTAAATAAACTAATTCATCACTTTAAAATCTTGAGAAAAAGATTATTTACCCTGTTTTACTTATTTATTTATTTATTTATTTATTTATTAAAAGATATTTATCATCAGCGAATGCTAAAAAAAATTATTGTAATTAACTTCCATTCATAAATGGAGTCAGCGTTCTATAATTAGCCAAATGCCTCTGATCTATAAGTATCTCACATCTGGTGAAACAAGACCCAAGATTATTTCACTCCATCAGCATCTCACATCTTGAAAAAGTTTGTTTTTAATGGTGCATTTGTCAGCTGCACTGTCAGCTCCATGCCATTTCCCAGTGGCACTCCAGATGACTTCACAGCGGACCAGTGCCAGCAAGCATGGCACTATGCTTTAGGACACACAAAATACAGAGGAAAAAAGAAGGAAGTAGAGGTTGCAGAGTAAAGCACAGAATGCAGGATGGGTGCAGTAACCAAAAGAGTAAGACCAGGTGAAGAAAACAGAATCATAAAGCTGTTCACTTGTTTCCAAACTATTTCCAAACTGTTAAAGTTTCCAAACTGTTGTTCCCTCCTTATGGAAGTGGTGGCACAGCAATCACAGGCATGAGGAATGAAAAGCGAAGAAAACGGCAAACTGTCAGACGGCCCAACACAACAAGAATGAGACACGAAGCCAGAGAAACCTGACTTGGACCCCAGCTCTGTCACGTGCTGATCACAGCTGGCATCACTTCACTTACCTGAGACTCGGTCTCTTCACTGTCAAGTGAAACTGCTAATGATAACACCTTTCTCAGGTGCCTGTTTTGGGGACTACAAGACAATGATGGCGGGAAAGTCCTTTGTACACTTTAAGGGCTTCGGTGATACTGGAACAGCAGGGCTGACATGTAACGTAGTGAAGTTCTGTGTCAGGAAGGATATAAACTCAACAGCAGAAATTCCTGACCACAGGATTTCCAGGAGGATCACTCAGAGGAAGAAACCTCTCTCCTCAACTCCCATACGATACAAATACGAGGAAAGCCGCAGCCACTCCCAACAAAATAAAAACGACAACATCGATGTGTTCTGAGCAGCTGACAGACACAATGACGGCAATTATGGCTATCATCGTGGAGTCTGGCCTTTCTAATTTCCCGGGGACAAGCAGGAAATGAGAATTTTAGTGAATACTTCATGAATACCTGCATGTTGTAAGAAGCACTGCTACAAAAATGTTTGCCAAGTTTTCCCACCTCCTTACGACGCTTTTCATAACAGGTGCCAGCAGGCAATGATGGAACAGATGGTTTGGACCAATTTTCGTAATGAAGACAATTAGAAAAGCAAGATAAAATATGAAAAGCATCTTCCCTAAAGCATGAAGAAGCTACTGTGATAGAGAGGGATTGCTGGGCCAAGACCCAAAAGAAGCCAGAAATCCAGAGAGGTAGCCTGGGGGCTGACATGGCCTCTGCCACCCCGGAGGAGGCAGCTGAGGGCGAGCAGTATCTCTGACCACTCTGCGGCGGGAGGGATGGAAAGCTGGAGTCCAGGGCGTGCCAAGGATGTGGTCCCACCCACAATCAGGATGCGGACCCCAGAGGAATGCAACTTCGATTTAAGAGTAAAATAAAATACACATAAACCTTCTCTTGAATGGACTGCAGGCTGACTTCAAGTAAACCCCTGGGTGGCTCTGATCATCTCAAACCCTGACTCTGGAGAGCTGACACCTCCAAACATGTGGCAGAGGCAAATGAAAATGCTCCCTGAGAGAGGAAAGCACTATGCTAAGAATCAAGCGACTTCTATGGGGACAAATGGAAACCCACATGAAAAAGAATGAAACTGGACCCCTATTTCACACTATATGCAAAACATAGCAAAACATAAATCAAAATGGATGATAAACCTACATTTAAGACCTAAGTCTGTAAATCACTCAGAAAACACAGGTGTAAATCTTCAGGACCTCAGTTTAGCAATGGTGTTCTTACATATGACACAGAAAAGCAATAGAAAGGAAAGAAGTCTAGACACCTGCTCCAACATGGATGAACCTTGACAACATAATGCTAAGTGAAAGAAGCCAGCCATGAAAGGCCACGCCTTATAGGAATCCATTTACATGAAATGTTGAGAATAGGCAAATCTATAGACATAAGAGTTAAAGTGAAATGGGTTTCTGATTTGCCTCAAAGTAATCAGAATATTCAGCTATGAAAGACAAAACTATTCAGGTTAACCGTTCTGCCTATGCTTAAACAATTACAAATTAAAATTAGATCCCAGAAAGAGGTTTGGAATTAAAAATGGCTCAGAAATGTAACAGACAACCTACCTTCAGCCACTGTTCAGCCTGCTCCTTGCTCTGGACTGCAAGAACAAGTGGGTCTGTGCCTTGCTGGGTAATTTTCAACTCGTGCTTCTTCTTTTTGCTGTCTTTCGGAATATATGTAATGTTACAGCCTTGGAGAGGCAGTTCCATCTGAGGCTGCTGGTCCTTGGAACTTTTATAGCACTGCATTCAACACAACAAATCAATGTATATTATGAGAAAGTTCAAACAGAAACACTGATAAAACTCCAGCAAAATGAAAATGTGAATATTGGCAAGACATCTGCAGGTCTGATCAGAGAGTGGAGATATCAGCAACTGGGAAACGGATCTCCAGACTGACAAGTTTCACACACGCAAAACACTCCTTCATCCTGATGCTTTGCCTCCAAGTATGGGAAGGTAACACTTATTCGTGAACTCAGCAGAAGTTACTGAACATCTATGACATGATTCAGCAAGAAGCAGAAAGTCCCTACTCTGATGGAACATTCGGGCACATCACAATACCCACCCCGAAGCTACCTGAGCATAAGAGGAACAAGTTCTAGAAGGAGATACAAAAAGGCTGTTAATGGCTGTGATCTGTGGAAAAATGGACTGTGGATATTATTTATAAATAGAAGTATATGAAATATACTTATATGACTAATATATAAAATGTATTTGTAGTTCTGTTACAACTACATAGCTCTAATGTGGAGAGACAACATAATAATTCAGAAACTTTATAATCTACATTGTGTGATATCTGCCTATCATATCTCTATCCCCTTTCTGAAAAACAGATAAGTTATTTTATTAAGACCATAAATATCAATACAAATTGTATAAAAATGTCTGCAAAGGTCTGCTTTCTAGGTGACTAGGGGATCCAAAACTCATGTTGCTCCACTTACACAACTATCATCCGCTCTAAAGATTTCAATTGGTAGGGTTAAAACTGACATTTAGTTTGTATCACCCTTGCTTAATGTCTGTCTGTAAAACTTAGAATCAAATCTTTGCCCAAAGGTTTCCCCACCCCTTTTTGTTTAACTGTATTACTTAGGGCCAGAAGTATTAATGGAAAGACACAGTCAGAAGTCAGACATTGGGGTTTCTAGCCCTGTTACCAATTTATTGCAGGTCCCAGGAAGCTTTTTAAGCTTTCTGAGCCCATTTCCTCATTTCATAAAGTATGTTTTGCTGTTACTGTTATTATTTTATTGTTACATTAAATTATTAGTAATAACATATCTGCTACCAAGTGCTGAGTGTTGACATCAGGAGGCATTTCATGCTTCTCCCTTAATCATCAAAGTTGTCCATTCTGTAGACTTGCAGACTGTGGCAGCCCTAAGGCACAGCTGGTTAAGTACTAATATTAATAACTTGCCCAAAGCTAAGAACCCATGGAGTGGTGGCCGCAGGACTCTTGCCCAACACTGCACAGTGCACAGCCTGCATTCCTGACTCTGAACCATTTACTGATGAAGGAATGAATGGAGACTTATTTTTAGAAATGACTTCTAGAGTCCTTTCCTGTTTGATAGTTCTGAATCCATGACTCTCAAATGACACAGATAAGGAATACATCACCTCCTTTTTTAAAAAATTCAGCTGATGGTTGCCCTGGCTAAAAAGGAAGAAAAAAATTACATCAAAACCAAATAACCTCAGATTGTTGTGAATGTTTACCATTTACCAGATTTTTTGCATTTTGAATACATGCAAAAAAAAGGTAAAAGGGAAACGGTACAGTGGAAGGAATCAGAAAAGGAAGTTTTAAAATTTTTAATTGTTTAAACTTTTTAAAAATGACATAACTGTACATATTTATGGAGCACATAGTGATGTTTTGATATCGTAATACAGAGTGATGAGGTGACAGTAATTAGCATATCCATCATCTCAAACATTTGGCATTTCAGAAAGGGAATTTTATAGCTTATATTTTCCCTTAAGTGAAATGCCTCACAATAAGTAGCTCTGTTATCAGCAATAATGACAAACTGCAATCTGGAGGTCCTAGCAGGCTGGATTCCCAAGGAAGCTGCTCTATGACAGAGAATGGCATGCAGGCCATTCATTAAGGTGTGCCTTACGACAACGCCAGTAGGAGGGAGAGGGAGAAGTGGGACTATGCAAAGAAGGAACCTACAACACAGCTCAAGTGGCCCCGGGGACCCCTCGAGAGCTCTGAGCGCCAGGGCCCCGACAGAGCTGCCCCAGGAGTCTGGGCCTTCATACCCTGGCACTTCATACCCAGAGGCGGAACCCTGGGGCAGGAGCGGACCTGGACTCGAGGGCCCTCCTCAATGGAGACAACCCCGAGTGGGCTCAGCAGCCCTTCCTGCAAGTGCGGGACTGTGTCCTATGGTCCTGAAGGGGTCTGGGTGCATCACAGTATCCACCCCAGAGCCACCTGGGCACAGAAGGAACAAGTGCTATGACAGGAGATACAAACAAGCTACTAATGGGAAGACAGACTGGGAACATTTAGGGGAAAAACACGGCTTTTTGTTTTCTCTTTATAGCTTTCTGCACTGTTTAAGTTTGGAAAGCACTTTTATTACTGTTGTCTTTTTATGTCTAGAGGTCATCTGAACCGTTGGATCATAGGTCATTTTTGAAAGGAAAAAAGCTTCATAATAAAAATAACTAACACTGATTCTGTGTTTTATTGAAGACAACAGTGCTTTCTTCTGCTTTTCTATTGATTTTTTCTTAAATATTTACAACTACTCTAAATGGCAGGAGTTATCATCCCGGTTTTGAAGGAGGGAAAGCTGCTAGGAGACTTGAGGGAAGAAAACTCACAGACTGGGAGAAAGACAAGTGGTGGCGACGAAGACCAGGACCCGAACCCCAAACTGCGAACCCCACATTCCACTGCAGGGCTTCCCTCACTGTTCTCTAGAACTGCTCTTTCAGATAAGAGATGATTGTGTATTCTTAAAATATTTATATAATAAATCTACATCTTGTAGCCATTATGTCAGATTATAAATAAGGACCATATTAATCTTTTTCCCCATTCTTTAAAATTCCCCATGGCATCATTTTTGGCATATTCTAAATCTGGGAGAAATTCAGGCCACACATGTGGAAAAAATATGTTCTCTCACCATTTTTAAAAGACTGAACAAAAACATTAATTAAAAAATATACAATATCCTAAGAGCCTAGTACAGTAAGATTCCCACAATTCACAGATGAAACTTGGGTGGAAAAAGTATTATTTACTCCACCAAAGAATGATATACAGAAACATAAATTCTTGTGTTTTCTGTTTTAATGATATAATCTTGAACAATTTCTCCCCCAAGGTTACTTTGAAGGAAAAACAAAAGGCAAAAACATACTCTAAGTTTCATAATTCCGATAATCAACCATGGTTTCTATAGGAACGAAGGAGAAGGAAGAAAGAAGGTAGAAAGGAAGGGAGGGGGAAGGAACAGCAGGGAGGAGGGAGGGATGAGGGAGGAGGTGGGAGGAGTTGCCACACCATTCTCAAAGGTCCTTGGTCTTAACGCAGCCTCCTCCTAGAGTAATACCTAAAGCAAAGAGGTCGCTTTCCCCAGTCCCTGCTTCTCTCTGACTTACTTATCTTCCTGTTCTGACTCTCAGATTTGAGAAAAAGAATTGGCCTCAAGCTTTCCAAAAGAATTTCCTTTCCTGGCCGCCCTCCCTCCAAACCTCCGAAGGCCTGCCCGTCCCACTTCCATGACCTGGCTTTGAGGAATTCACTGACTCACTACAAATGAGAAAATCCATCTTGCAACTTCTGGCAAGTTAAAACATTGTGCATTTCCACTGACACAAACCACAGACACTGCCCCAGAATGGGAATGATTTTGTGCGACGGCTGCTTCTGGAGCTGGGAAACCAACAGCAGTGAAGACGAAGCCGCGGCCAGTGCTCATGGATGGCTCTTGATGGATACCAGCGCACTACTGTCACAAGCGCGGGTCCTCGCTGGGGCCTCCCCTTCCCCGAGTGGCTGATGTTAACACTGACTGGGTACAAATCCCATCACTATAGATTTCCAACAAAACCCTACCGGTCTTACAAAACACAGGCTACTCGGAATGCTCTACCAGTAGTTTGCTGTCCTTGATGACGCAGAGCAGCTTGGTCCACTGGCCGAAGCGCTTCTTCCGCAGCAGGAAGGCACAGATCTTGGCGTCCTTCACCAGGTCCATGGAGGCCTCCTCCGAGGGCCACTGGTGCCGAGTTTTCTTCCCCTTTCCATCTTCCTCCTCTTCGTCATATGACTCATAAGAGCTACTCATGGCATCTGAGTCATAATCTGTCAAAAATAAACAAAGGTAAAAGGACCTTATCTTGAAGTTTGCTCAAGGTCACATCATTATATTTTTAATAGCTGAGTAATTCAACGAGAAAGGGACTTTTGCTCTTTAAGAAAAAAAATAATTCTAAGACATGGCAGTAAAAACTCAATGAAAAGTTCTAAACTGAAGTGACTAAAAATTCCGTGTTTATAAAAACCTTTTCTAGACTGTTCAATACGGACCAGACACTACACAGACCCGGCGCTGCTGACACCCCCTTCCCGAGGGCCCTCACTACCTCATTCTGAGTCGCATTCTGCCATTCTGCTGTGGCCCATGGAGGTCCTTTGCTCTGCCACATCCACACCTCTATGTCAGAGTCCTTCCAAGTCTGCAGATCCTTCTCCTAACATTTAAGATGTGACTAAAGGCCACCTCTCTCCTCTGGGTCATGCTTGGAACTTTCATAGCAATTTACACCTACCTTTCCAGCGGTATTCACCTCATTCTGCAGCACATTCACACCCATGCTGGTGTTTCTTTTAGTTTCCCAAATATGTCATAGTCTCCCTTATCTCAACATTTTTGCCCTTGCTGTTCACCCACGCTCCCTCTTGCCTTTGCCTGGTAAATGCTCTCATCTTTTAGGATTTGACTTATACTTCCTCCAGCAAACCCTTCCTGAGTCACCAAAGCTGGATGCTATGGACTGAACCACGTCCCCCACCAAAATCCAGATGTTGAAACTCTAACCTCAATGTAACTGCTTGAAGACAGGCCTTTTAGAAGGTAAGTTAGGGTATACACAGTCATAATGGTGGGGTCCTAATCCCATAGGGCCTTATAAGAAGAGGGAGAGAGAGAGATCTTGCTCTCTCCCCATCCACAAACCAGGAGGAGGCACCTCCCTCTCCAGAACCCGACCGTGCTAGTGTCCAGACCTCAGACTTCCAGCCTTTAGAACCAGGAGGAAATGAATTGCTGTTGTTTGAGCTGCCCAGCCTACAGTATCTTGTTGTTGCAGCCCGAGCAGACTAAGACAAATGCCCCTCCTGCCTGTCTCCATCTGCCCAACATAAAACTCATCACACTGCGCTACCAGGCTGTGAGCCCCTGGGGAGAAGTTGGCCATCTTGTAAGGCCGTGATATCCCAGCACCTAACACAGCACCTGGCATGTGGCAAGCACAAACAGTGTAGAAGAAAGAAATGTCACCTGAATTTAAACTGCACCTGCAAAGCCCTAGGAGGAATGGCTGGCACATCAAAAGTATTTCATAAATACCAGTGACTGTCATTCATATTATTGCTTTCAGCCGTGTAGGATAATAAGCTCATCAAGATAGTGAGTGTCTGATTCATCTCTGAATTCCCCTTAACCGAAGGAATCATCTGGAACCTATTCACTTCTCAAAACATACTTGAGGAATGAGCACTAGATGATGAACACAGGGTAGATAAGGAGAACAATGGCTGATGCAGGCAATTGCACAATCTAGCAAAAGCACCAGAAAGGGCAGGCGTTATACAGAAGACAGCTCATATTTTTATTCCCTGGAACCTAGAGTTTAACTTGCCCTCAGTAATCATGTTTACATTACAATTTCCTTGCAGAGATTCAATACTAAGGCAGGGAACAGAAAGATTTAAAGCTTTAGTTGAATTTTCAATGATGAAAAGAAGTCCAGGCAGGATTTTAAGCAAGAACTGAGGAGACTGAAGAGGCACCTTTGGCAATGGCACTGAGAGTGGGCTGGAGCAGGGACTGGTGGAGAGGCAGGGCCAGAGGAAGGCATCTACAGCAACATTAGGAAGAGACGTCGAGACTGGGGCTGAGATGGGCGCGAGGGACGCCAGGAGGGGCGAGATGCAAAGGGAATAGACCCTCGGGTCTTGGTCACAGATCACAAAGGAGAATGAATGAGGGAGTACAGCCCAGCTTCTCCTCTGTGCTGCTTTACGCAAACCTTCCATACCCCACAGGCGGGTTCTCCTCCATGACCCCCCAACACCCACACCCCCCAAAACACCAGTGCCACCAAGTACCAACACCCCCATTTCATGGGGCAGCCACAGGTAGCTATTTAAATTTTAATTAAAGTCAAATAAAATTAAACACCTAGTTCCACAGTCACACTCACCACATTCCCAGTGGCTCACCGGGAGTACAGGTAAGGACGGTCCTATCACTGCCGGAGCTCTACCGGACAGCAGGGGACTGAGAGATCCCTGATCTAGGGCAGCACATTATTACAGAGGCCGGGACAGGACGTCGCGTGCAGGATGCAGAGAAGCCTAAAGAGAAGAGATCACTCAGAGCCAGACCTGGAAATGAGTTGTTGACGACCAGATGGAAGAAGAAGCACAACGAGCGAAGGCACCAGAGAGTGTCAGAAACACTGCAGAGGCACAGTGAAGCCCACCACTTTGTCAACAGCACGTCGGTGAGTGCCACGAAAGTGACGCACACGGTTACCCACAAGGGGGAGAATGAATGAGGGAGAACAGCACAGCCCACAGAAAGAGGGGGCTATGCTGAGGCAGGGTGGGGGTTTCTGGGGCCGACAACATTCCATCCCTGACCTGGGTGGTGGTTTGCTTTATGGTAAGTTCTTGAGTGTATATTCATATTTCATGTACTTGTGGGTAAATATGTTTTACAATAAAAAGGGTTTTTAAAAAGTTTAGCATGCCTAGAACGCAGGGTAAGTGGGGGCAACTGATGGAACATGGAACAGAGAAGATGGGCGGATGCCAGGCCACACCCATCCCATGCTGTGCTAGGGTCTCATGTGCACTGAGGGATTTAAGAGGGGTGATGGACATAATCATATTTTTATTCCATAAAGACGATTCTCACAATGGCTTGAAGGACCGTGAACCATCAGGGCTCAGCTCATTCTCTGGAACATCAAGTTCAGAAAATAATGAACATGGGACTGCACACTAGCACAAGCTCTGTGGAAAGCAGCACGGAGATACCTCAAAGAGCTCCAAATAGAACTACCATTTTATCTGGCGATCCCATTAGTGGGCCTCTACCCAAAGAAAAAAAGACATCTGCACTTGAATGTTTATAGCAGTATAATGCACAATTGCAAAGATGTGGAAACAACCCAAGTGCCCATCAATACATGAATGGATTAATAAAATGTGGTATATATATATATATACCATGGAGTTCTACTCACCCTCAAAAAACAATTGTGCTATATCACAGAGCTTGTGCTAGTGTGTAGTCCCATGTTCATTATTTTGTGATATCTGCACTTTGTGCACAGTGAGCAGGGAGACCAAAGTCAACAACCGAACTGTATGGATAAGATGTTGCTGGTTAGGAAATGCTCTTTGTTTTAGCCAGAATTCTCTAGAGAGATTGGATGGATGGATGGATGGATGGATGGATGGATGGATGGATGGATGGATGGATGGACGGGCGGACAGACAGACAGATGGATAAGAAGGGATTTATTAGGAGAATTGGCTCAGGCAACTAAGGAAGCTGAGAAGTCCCATGACAGGCCGTCTGCATGCTGGAGACCTTGAGATGGCAGCACTGTGGCTCAGTCGAAGTCCAAAAGCCTCAGAACCCGGAAAGCTGATTAGCACTTCTCAGTCTGAGGCAGAAGCCTGAGTGCCCAGGGGGAGGGAGGAAGAGAGGGGAGGGGTCCTGGGGTGAGTCCTGGAGTCCCAGGGCCAGAGAGCCTGACATTCTGACGTTCAAGGACAGAAGAGTGTGTCCCAGCTCCAGGAAGAGAGAGACTAAGCTGCCTTTCCTGCTTTTGTTCTATCTGGGCCCCCCGATTGGATGGTGCCCACCCACCATCTAGTCTGCTCAGACTCACGCGCTAATCTCCTCTGGCAACACGCTCACAGACACACCCCAAAATGATGCTTTACCAGCTCTCTAAGTATTCCTCAATCCAGTCAAAAACTAACCATCACACTCTTCTTCACCAGAAACTATTAATAGTTTCATGGTCAGGAATTACTATCATAGTGCAGTTCTGATAGAACTTAAGAAAGTGCCAATAACATATTATTTTTTAACCATAAAATGTTCATTCCAGAAAAAAATAGCATGAAATCAAAGGCAATACTGCACACATTGCAAATCTGGCAAATCAAAGAGCCAGAAAGGAAGTCTTGATAAGGTGGCTCTACTATCACAGCTTTCCAAAGGGCCATGCTTTTTCTCCAGTCAAATTATGTAAGAACTTATCTTTCAAAGCCACACGAGATACAGACAAGGTTAAGTGATCAGTGAGTGTTGGCGCCCTGTCTACTACAGGTGCTCACCAGGAAGTGGGGGACCTCAGGGACCCTGTCGTGTTCCTTCGCCATATTGCATTCCATGAGCCAAGAAGCAGAAGACCCACCAGGACTCCCGGCTGGTATATGACCTCACTTTTCAGAGAAGGCAGGGCAAGAGGCTGAGCAGGAAGACGACTCTGCTAGGGCAGCAGCTGTGTCAGTCCCTCCTCTCGCAGCTCAAGAGTTCTGAGAACAAAACTTGGCTCAGTGTTAGACATGTCACAAAAAACAAAAACTGAATGGAAATTCAGCATGGAAAAATCAACAGAACAAAGTAAGGAGTGAGAAAAGTGCAGTCCATTCAGCAAGTGTCTGTTGAGCTCTTCTTATGTGCCAGACACAAACAGACACAAACTTTCACCCTCTTTGGTCTGGCATTCTAGCAGGAGTTGGGGGTCGGGGTGGGCGTCGGGTGTTGGGGGGAATAGACGATAAACAAAGGAATTATAGGAGAACGGGGATATGTCCAAATGGAATACATTATGAAATCATTAGCTAATATTTGGAAATGCTCCTTTGGGTTTCAATACTGATTCATCATAATAATGATGCTCCACACCTGCACCGAGTGTTTCAGATTCACAAAGGGCTTTCCCCTCTGTCGTCTCACCTGCTCCACACAACTCCATGGAAGCAAGGATCTGAGCAAGAGGGCTCAGTTGGGGCCCCGACCCCCAACTCCCGCTAGAATGCCAGACCAAAGA